AATAAGTCTGTGAGCGATTAATTGAAAACAGATGTCCTATAATAACCAATATAGCAGCAAATTGGCTGCGATCAATGACTTTACAAATTCAGTTGTGTACTTAAAATCGGCGACAGATTGCATGTGTTTGCGCTTAAGTGCAAGTTAAGTATTAAATCTTTAATGAATATCGCAAAAAAATTATGTTTGATAAGAGGATCAATTTCGAGGCAAGTTTTACTTATTTATTCATTTTTTGTTTAATATGCTGCTGATAAATGGATAGGAGAGCAATCAAGCGGCGGATACGGAAATTGTCAATTTCCATTAAAATGAACGCATGTAAATGTTTTGATATAAGTGTGGGCAACTGTAAAATATACATACATACATACATACATACACATATAATGTTACTTTAATAAACTACACACTTGTGTACGTAAAAATGTTTAAGCTTTAGTAGTAATTCACGACAACACGGGAAGCTTGTGTGTTCGTTCATTGTCAAGTTTGAATATGCATTTTGACGTTAACTAACCTGGGACGCTCTGGTCACGTTGAGTTAACCTTCTGATCGATCCTTTGATCGCAGCCTAAGAGCTGCAGAAGCGATCGATAAATATTATACGTTCATCGATCGAGCAATCACTTCTACACACCCATCACCTAATCGTCATCAATGTACGTTCTATCGCATTGGAAAAAAATAGTGATTCGACGCAATATAAAGAATTCAAAATTTCATAAAACATTTCGCATATCATGCTTGAATATTTCAATGAGTATTTAGAGTTCATTAAAGACATGGTAAACAAGAGAGAAGGATAACAATACCGTTTCGAATAATGATTACCTCAGTATCGACCCAAGACGAAATATTGTTCACTTTATTTGTTGTGCTGTTTGCAAGCGAACAGCTGCAGTAACTAAGGCAATCAAATTTGGTTTGTATATTAAAAAAGTAAATGTTAGCAATACGAAGTTGCTACGGGGCACCAACTGTCTGCACGATTTTCCAAGTTATAAGTAAAAGTTTTTCAGTTCACATTTATTTCATTCAACCATTCGTTCATTCATTCATTCATTTATTCGTTGCAGACAAAATACTATTACTATAGACAGTTATGTATATAGTATTATTCATTATCATCGCACGAGTCTAAAAGGCAAGCCCCACTTAATATTTCATACTTCTAAAGACACAAACACAATCCGTTCGAATAATAAAACAACAAAGAAAATTATGTTCGGCTGTAGCCGAATATTTTACACTAACCACTTTAATCTTGAAAAAAAAAGAAAAAGAAAAATATGAAAACCTGATGTTTTAGAATGGGGAAGGGGAAGGCGTGGTGGAATGTTTTCACTTTTACACAAGTAGGATCGTACGTGAAATATTCGCGCGAAACCTCCATGATTTTATCCGTTTTAGAGGGCATATACCTGTTCTCAATTGATGTACATAGGGGGGTATTGTTTTACCTATTAGGTCCACTTTCAATGTATGCAAGAGTTTCCAAATTTAAGAATGGCATCTGAACTTTTTGTTTATTACAGACAGACAGACAGACAGACAGACCGTCGTAATAGCGTAATATGCGAAATTGGACAGAGCTGAGAAAATCATAGGAGAAATCAGATGCAAAGCAAAAAGTCGAGAAGATTGGTAGGCTTTAGTTAATAATAAAATTATCCAGTAATGGATTGATAAGAAGAGTGTGCACACTTCATAGACACTTTGAAGCTTGCTTCTGCCTGCTGCAGGCACAGAGTTGGAGCAACACACATTGACATTTCATATTAATCGAACATATATCCGCATAACACTACTTCCTGTAGGGTCCCTGAAAATGCACTTTATGTCGCAAACGTTTTGACAAAATGAGTATAACCCCCTTTAACCTTTGATGCTTTCACTGAATTTGTTTATAATAAGTTAAAGAAAAAGCCAATAATCACATACTTAGCATGCACACCAGCTTACAGTGTTGTGCATAAGAAAATCACACTTGAAAGGAGAACAATAACCAAAACTTGGCATCCGGAAATATATATAAATGTATGTACGTGTATGCACACACGACAGGATGTAAGACCGCTTTTGGTCGTTTGTAAAAGATGTTGACATATATACAATTGTATTTGTAAACGTATACATGTGTATGTGTATGTGTTTGTATATGTGTGTATGTGTATGTGTCATGCAGCATAAATTTAAATTGATGGTCTTATTTAAAATATTTATGCTTCAATGAATGATTCTGTTAGTGAATCTGTTGTTGTCTGTATGTTGGTTGGTGTCTGCTAGTGACTGAACAAACAATTGCCAATGGTGTAAGTATAGTATAATGCTGGCATACATGCGCACACTTATGCCTGTATAGACAGGCAGACTAACTAATGACTAGACTTTTGTGTATGCCTGTGGACATCTGTAGTTGTATGTTCATGCTTATAGCTACATATATAAATATATATATATATATATATAAATATATGTATACCTATATGTATGCAAACGCCATATTTAGTCATCGACAAGAAGAAAACAGTTACATAGTCATGAATAATGAATCAATTTATATTTGTATACAAATGTATGCATAAATCCAAAAAGCATAAGATTGACTAAACATCATAGCAATATACGCCTTTTGTGTACGTGAATGTACGTGTGCGTAAATGCGCTCGTTCTTAAACGGTTAACGTCTCAATAATAACTTTCTTGCTTTCTTAAAGAAAATTGCAATTAAATTGAAGGTTTCTATCTTACGAGCCAAATTAATAAATTTATGCCAAACGGGAATTTTAATTATTTAATTTATTTTATACGTGAAATATATTAAATGCTGGTACAGGATGTTAAATTTATATATATATAAAAAAAAAAAAAAATTAAAAAAATTATAAACAAATTGCACAGCTTGCAATATCCGGAAAAGACAATGGAAGACCGGATAACTTTAATAGAGTGTAAGATTTTTTTTTTTTTTTCTGCTATTGCTATATAAACGTGACCATAGAAAATTGAAATTGCGGTCATATACCACGTTTGTAATTGACTTTCACATATATGGTCGTGAAATGCAAATTTCCAAGATATTAACGAAACAACTTAAAACAAAAAAAAAAAAAAAATTAAACCTTTCACCAATGAAAGACAAAGTTACTAGAAAATCACTAGTAAAAGATTTGCACCAGGGACATGGATAATACGGTATAGCGCTATATATAATTTCTTCAACGAGTATATATACTGCTTGTAGTGCGCGAGTATATAAAGTTTATAAGATTATCCAGAACATTCAAAGATTTAATACAGATCGGCCTTCTTTTGTACCAATGGGTTTTGTGAATCGAGAGAAGCCTACGAGACAGGTCAACTTTCTATTGCACCAATAAATTCAAAAGTATTTTGGGAATGCGTTTACAAAGATCAGAATCATTGTGCTATGCCTTTAACAAAGTTCAGAATCTTCCATTGTACGAATCGACCAGAATTATGTTCTGATAAAACCATATAAACCTGTGAGACAGATCCACCTCATATTATGCTAATAAATTCGGAATTACTTTTTAAACCTAGATAACCACCCCCTTTAAGACAGTTTAATCAATCTTGCCTATCAGATAGATTCAATTTCTATTACACCAATCGATTCGGCATTATTCTTTGCATCGAGAGAAACCTGTAGGGCAGATCCATTTTTTAGCACCTTTTGAATCGTTATGACCCGTCTATCTCCCCATCTATTTGGTGTGTGTCCACTTATTTTTGTATCCAATCGATATGCGGCAAATTTAGTGAGACATTTTGAGGGAATGATGACAAGCGGAGCGGGGACCCAAGCTTTTTGGAAATGGAATGTGTCGGACAACTTTTGCAACTACTGTCTGCCTGTCGGTTTACAGCTCTCGATATCGAGTAGACGAAATGGCTATCGCTTATGGGTTCGCAACAACGTGTAGAGAGTTTTCAGCTGACAATAAAGTATGCATCGATTTATTATCGAATAAGAAATGTTTCGATCGCAAAACTGCTGTCGCGTAACATATTCAAATTACGATTGAGTTTCCTCGACACTGACGGCTATAAACCGTCCATCGGATTTGCAAATCAGAGAAGTCATAGAGCATTGTGTCTATCGCATTTCAAGATCTCGCTTGCTCGGCTATAATGTTGTAACTTCCTTAAGTAATGAATATATGAAACGATTTCCAATATAATTCCTACGCAACGGTATCATCAGTTGAGTCATAGATGGTAGTGGCTGATGAAAATGCTTACATAAAAACAAGGTGGCAGCGAATAATAGTAAGTGAAACGCAGCCAACAATCAGCCAAGCCTGCTGACATACTGCTATAGTTTCAAAAGCTTGTTGAAATCAAAGCTTTAACAATAGGTATTGTATTTCATCTAAAAGTGTAGCTCGTACATTCAGCTGATTACAGAGCACAGATTGTTGTTTGCATATGCACGCAGCATTCGCCTTTAAAGTCATTCATTTAATTGCATTTCTATATGTGCGGATATTTAATTAAGTTTTGAGGTTTCCCTAATGCCAAATAATGCAAAATATTAAATTAAATTTTGTTGACGGTCGAAACTTTCAAACCGTAATCAATGCATATGAAATGCGCATAAACTATAATTACAAATACAAAATCAAATGGCTTTAGGCGCAAAATATAATTCGTTGTCATCGATGCATGCATATTGGCTGTCAGAGACAAAAATTCTATCAAAGGAGGGACATTTTTATTTATTTAATGTTTGATCTACATGAGATATCGGTGCAAATGGCATTCGTGTAAACTATGAAAACTTCCGGTCGATCGATCAATCAAACCATTAAAAAGGTCTAAAATGGAAAGGCAAACAAAGTAAAGCTCGCTCTATTACTTCATGTATTATATATAGCTCGAGTTGAAATGCGAGGGACTTTGAAAAAAAAAATCATCTAAAAAAATGAAAAAAAAAAATCATTTAATTTGGTATATGTTTGCATGTACTTACCCAAATGCTGATCAACACGTTTTTTGGGTTTTTGCACCGATGCATACGGATCGCTGCAATAGTCTTGTCTTGAAGGATTTTGGCTGTTACGTAAATTATGATATTCGTCTCCATGCTGACTGGGAGTAGCTGTTAATTGAGGATATGGTGCGTAATCGTCGACACCTCCGTAGCCGCCATGTGTCAAAGGATCGTAACCGTAAGTGGGCTGCTGTTCCACATAATTATTGTGCGAAACTGGCATCATATTCGGTTGATTACCAGCTGCACCTGACATTTTCACCTGCCACAATGAATCTTGTGAATTGACACTTCCACCGTTATTCGAATTGGAATAATTATTCTCGATATATCCCATGTTGACCCCTAGAGAGATTCATTATGAACACAAAAACACATATGTAAATATATTTTTGTATTAAAGATTCGATTCGAATAAATTACTACTTTGCTCTTTGATTTATTTATTACGTTTACGAATTGTAATAAAATTTATGAGAATTTAAATATATATATATATATATATATATGTGCGTTTGAAATAATAATTAACTCATTTCATAATATGCGAGACAATGGTTTTGTATTTTTGGCACGACCGCGTTAGCGTGTTATAATATTTATTATAATTTTAGTACGAATTGATTTTCATTGTAATAAAATTCTATTCATATAATATTCAATTATCGTTGATAAAATATATAATTAATTATCGATAACGTTAACATTGCAATCACAATCCGGAGAGAAAGAGAAAGAGAGAGATAGATAGATCGTTTCGCTTCAATGCTCGAGTCAAGCAAATTGTCATAAATGTATAAAATGATTGCACAAACTTTTATATAAAATTCTGACAACTCTTGTTATATGCACTTATGCATTATAGATAAATATATAATAATATCTGTGTTTATTAATGTCTGCATGTGTCTGTTTTTGTGTGTGTGTGTATGCGTATTTATTTAATAATTTATAAAAAAAAAAAAGCACTATTCAAAACGGGTTGACTGTAATTACAGCAATTATGATTATTTGTTTTAAATAAAATCAATGATTTTAATAAATCATATCTGTGTGAAAAAGTTAAACAAATATGTGAAACTTTATTCAAAGGCAACATATCTCTCCGTCCTTTATAGTATAATAAATTAATTGCCATTTGCTGTTGAATTACTTGGTATCTAAAGTGATTTTTCACTCACCCACACACACAGGTTAGCAGGTTGACAAGGATGAAAAGTTATTCCTCTTAATTTCGTTGGGCTCTACGATCGATAGTAAAAATGCAAATAAAAATATTATAGTCGGACAGGACTGACCATTAAATATTCTTACACAAATTCATCTATCACCATCATAGCTTAGATCTTTTATAAAGGACGACTACAACCAGTTGTGGTACAAGGATACATCAAGTTTGTGCGGGTGTATACGACATCCAAAAAAGCCACCCGCCATTTAGTATATCGATCATTACCGATTCACTTTCGGAATGAATTTAAGCCTGTCGTTCTGTCCGCCACTGACTTATTTTGACCCAAACACGAACGCTATTGAAAATGCTCCGGATCGGACTACTTTTTCGACCGCTTGCCTTATGGCCATACATTTTAAAAATGTCATCATATGACAAAGAAAGATGAGCCATGACCCCCTACAGCTTTCTTACATCTTTTTCACAGTATGACCTAAAGATTACAAAGCCATTGTTATTGTTATTATTATTATTATTATTATTATTATTATTAATTTAGCCAGAGAATAAAGTCGAAGCCTAAAGTTTTAAAGCACTAGCATCTAAGGCTTCGGCTTTATTTAAAACTCTACCGCACTTGAGATTTGAACCCACGATCACTGAGTTGCTAGTCGAGACTCTTGCCTACTCGGCCCCTCAGGCGGATAAAATGGTTCTAAAAAAAGACGATTCAATGAAATTTTGTCATATAAAGGAACACTTAGGTCCGCTTTCAATAAAAATTAAGCTGAAAGTTAGACAAACTTGAGTTTCAGTTAACACCAAATCTTTTTCACGGAACATTCAATTATACTCCAATCCCAACATAATTTTATTTTAAAATTTGTTGTAGTTCCCTACTAAATGCCATACCATAGCAACAAACCTGATCAACAATCATATCATCGATGAAATGAAATAAGAACAATTTGCGAGAACTTATTTGGGTGAAAAAGTGTTTATTATAAATAATAAAAAATTTGGAGCAACAACAACTATGCGAGCGCGCTATAGTCAGTTCAATCACTTTGTAAATAACTACAATAAATTTATTCTCTTGATATATTTTTCTGATAAAACGATTTTATATCTTATTCACAATAGGCAAAAAACCAAATCACAATAAACTAACAAACAATTAGCCGACTACATGTTATTAAAGTGCATATTTACCTTCTAGTTAAAAGTGCCAGATAGAAAGGGAGATCTAGAAAGCTGGTAACCATAGGCTGAGTGCAGAACACACTTCACGGCGTAAGGAAATAACCTTTTACGAGCGATTAAAATGAGAAGTTGGCAGTTCTGAGATGAGCTTCGATGTGAACACGAAAGGTATCAAAATGAAAGATCGTGTCATCATGAATTTTTTCCATTCGAAAATAGAATGCTCGATTGATTCATCTATCATGACACCTATCATATGAGCCATTGTCGACAGCTTGGATTAGTTACGAGTGTACAACGAGTGACGAGTGTACAACAGAAAATAGGACTAGATAAGGATTAATCTTTTGATATTCAAACGATTTTACGAGTTGTGCGGACAGCTTCTTGGAGAGGATATTTAAAAGATGGGATCTTTCTAACATGTCAGTCATCGTTCTCATAAACAAATATATTAACACGAAGCGAAATGAAACTGTTCTTAAAAGAGCAAGTAATGAAGAAAAATGTAAAGAAAAATAAATAACTTTGTGCAAAATATTTTAAAGTTTCACCGCAAACTCGACACAGCAATCAGAAAGTTCGTTCGTTTGTGTGTCTAATAAATATGATGACGGATTATTAATATTTTTTTGGCAAAGTTTTGTAGAGCAAATTAATTTTTGGTATAGTGATGGGGTGTCTTATGGAATCACTGCAACGCGGTCAACAATGCGTACCGTAAAGGGCAAATGGAGTATGTTATGAAGATGAATGAAAGTAAGACTAAATTCAAGCCTTCACAAAAGTGATATACAAAGACTTAAAACATATAATACTATGTATTTCATATGTGGATAATTCGCAATTATCGAATTTGTCTACTGTCGCTCTGCAAAGGCACCCGACTCTCCGTAGGTTTCTTTAAGAACAAAAAAAAAAAAAAAAAACTGTTCAAAGTTTTATTCATAGGTTTTAGCAATATTTCTTGTTTCGTTTGTACTTTTACGTGATTGAAATTTATTGGGAATATGCCTCAGTCGTATTGATTAATTAATTGCTACGGTATGCATGCATGCATCATCCCTTATATGTAAAACTTTCAGAAACTGCATCGCATTGTTGTACGTAAACGCAAAACATTGATTATAAGGCGGTAGTAGAAAAAAGCAAAACAGAGAAGAGACGAAAGAAATCGAAAGACAATTAATGCGAAATCATTCCGTTTCAGTCAAACAATAAATTTTATTCATCAAATTGATTAAATTTGTCTCGCAGAGAGATGAAGAAATTGCTAGTTTCTGTTGTTTCACTTTGTTCTTCCTTTCTTCTATATCTTTTTTTATTTTTATTTTATTTCTATTTTTTTTTTTTTTGTTTTCGTAGAATCTTCCTATTTTTCCACTTAACCTTGTTGACTTTTACTAAACAACCAGGCAGTCAGCCACCAACACCATTCGCCAATCTCATCACCCAAAACACACAGGGACGCCAAAAAGCGAAAAGAAAACTGTTTCTTTTTTTTTTTTTTTTCTTCTAAAAGAAACTTTTCGGTATCACTTCAGTGTTATTTCCGTTTTCCTTGCAACATTTGTTTAACTTTTGGCATTTGTTTTTGGGATTCAGTTAGTGTTTTATGTGTCTTTGCATTTGTCTTTCTTTTCGCCTTTTTCTTTTTTTTTTTTTTTTCTATTTTTATTTTCTTACGACTCAATTGGCCCTCATATATATATATGTATATACAATTGTATAACATAGGTACGACGAAGTACAGAACTGACTTTAGAGCCTTGCATGTTATAAATGCCTATACGGGTGTGTTGGCCTTTGTGTGTTAGTGTTTGCATTTGAGAACATGTTTATTTGTTTATATTTTTTTTTTTACTCTTTCCTTTTTGTTTTTGGTTTTTTTGTTACTCCTTCTCGTACAATCATAGTTTTTAGTTTCGTTATGCAACCTTCTAGTACTCAGCTTGCTTGTTTGTAGCCGTGGAAAGGTTTGCTGTTGTTGCTGCTGTTACTGCTGCTGCTTGCTACTGGTTTTTTTATGTGCAAATACGCGTTTGCTAGCATTTACGCCAACGTGGTTATCGTTGTCCTTTTGTAGCATGTATTTCCGTTGTCACAAACTTCCGTCCGTTTACAATATGGCGGCGCTTAACTGTCTTCAAAATACTTATTTGCCTTATTTCGTTTTCCCAAAATGTTACAACATTAACACAACAAAAACAACAATTATAAATTACTCCTATACAATTTTTTGTTTTCTCTTTTCTTTTTCCTTTTTTTTTTTTTTTTTTTTTTTTTTGTATTGCTATGTTTTCTATTTTTTATAAACAACTCGAGGCATGTGCTAGTTCTTCGTAACATTGGACGCTGGTATGTTAATTTCGTCATCCCATATATAGCAGAATTTTTTGAACCAAATTGATTACAGTCGACTCTTTCGTTACACTTTTAGAAAACTCGACTTCCTATTAAATTTCTTGCTCCTTATTTTGGGAAATCTAAGGTTATACAGATAAGGGTAACATCGTAATTAATCGATAAACATCTCGCTAAAAGCCGGCGATTAATCATCACCTATGGAAATCTTAGCTTTAGAAATTAGCGAAAGCTAACTCTCAGCTATATGATTATAGCCCCACCCTCACTATCCCAATATTTTTGAAATGTATATGATTGGGAAATAATGAGGGGGAGAGAAAGAAAAAGAGGGAGAGAAAAAGAGAGGGAGAAAGGGAAAGAGGGGAGAAGCGGAGAGAAAAAAAGAGAGACGGAGAGGTAAAATAGAAGACAAATACATATGTGTATGCATATAGAGAGAGAGAGAGATATGGAGAAAGATAAACAAAGAGAGGGAGAAGAAGAAAGAGACAGAGAAATTCCATATTAATTATGAACATCTGACTCAGTTTTCACAAAAATTGCCAGGGGTTTATTTAATTCCTACCTCTATTTTAGGAGTAAGTAAGTCTGAGTACGAGGG